ATCCCAAAATTTTATGAAACATGAAGGTTCATTCCTGTGTTGACAAGAGCCCACCACTGGTCTTTCCAGATAAATCCAGTTCATGCCTCCCAATTACACCCAGGCCTTGTTACACTGGTCTCTTCCTTTCTGGTTTCCCCATTAAAACCCTTTTTGCACTTTTCCATCTCAGCCTCCTTGACCTGATCAATTTAATTATACTTGGAGCACAGTGCAAGTAATGTAGTTCCTAGTTAAGCAGTTTTCTCCAGTTTCCTATTATTTCACCCCTCTTGGGTCCAAATATTCTCCTCAGCACCCTCTTCTCAAACACCCCCAGTTCATGTTCTTCCCTTAATGTCAGTGAGAGAGTTTCACACCCATTAAAAACTAAAGAGAAAATTATACTTCTGAATGTATTGTGGCTTTATGTTTTTAGACAGCAGATGGGAAGGCAAAAGGTTCTGAACTGAATAGTATTAAGCATTACTTGAATTTAATCCTTCCTTAATTTATTCACGAATCTAGTTTCAATTTGTTACTGTTATTCGAAAATATTCCAACTTTGCCACATTTTCAAAGGATCTACTAGCTATCTTTATGGAACAGACTCATAAAAGTTTTGAACAGTCCTACTGGAATTTTATACCATTCTTCTTGAAGAACATCTTCATGTCGTTTTAGAGACACTGGAGTTTGGAATCTGTTTCTCACTCTAGTCTCCAAAACTGACCAGACTGGTTCAAAGATGTTCAAATCTGGTGACTGTGCTGGCCAGGGATGATGAAATTCACCTTCAAGCTCCTCAAACCATGACTGAACAGTTCCAGCTGTGTGAATGGGAGCAATGTAATCTTGGAAAACTGTGTCGCTGTTCAGAAATAACGTCTGGATCATGGGATACACCTGATTACCCAACCTGTCCACAAACGCCTTTGCAGTATTTCAGTCATGAAGGGTAATAATGGGACCAACATAACACTGTGTACCACAATATTGCTACCCAAACCATCACACAACATACCCCATGCTTCACTGTTGGAACCAGACATTCTGGATTGTAGGCATCCTTGAGTGTTCCTGATGTAAGGAACAGTGTGAAGGATGACTCATCTGACCATATTATGCGTTTTCAGTTGTCAGATGTCCAGGTTGCATAGCTGACACCATCATTTATGCATGTGAGAATTACTTCCAATAATCAGAGATTTAGCAGTTGCAGCCCTATTGTGGATGTTGGATTTGTGAAGTTCACGTCAGACAGTTTTTGTGGAAACATTCTTTAAGATGAATATTCATTTCTGCTATCATCTGCTCTGCAGTAGTTCTGTGATTTTTTAAAACAACTCTTCTCAATGTACAACGATCTCTGTCAGTGTTGATTTTCACAGCCTTGACCTCGCAAAACCCTAAGGGCCTTCATGGCCTGTTAAAGGGATAGTTTTACCTTTATACGTAGCACGTCCACAAAGTAAGTTTCCCACTCATCCCACAGCTAGCAAACCTTATATTGCGCGAAGCGACTGCGCGTACGTGATAGAGCAATGACGTAGCATGGCGCATGCACAAACGGAATTTCCTGCGTTCCCACAGTAGCATCATTGCAGCTGTTGAAGATGGAGGCTCTTATTCCAACTCCCGCCGACTGTGAAGTGCGGTCAGTGATAAAGTTTTTGAATGCACAGAGCATAGCGCCGATCAAAATTCGTCGTCAGCTGTGCTGGGTCTATGGGCATAACGTCATGAGCAAGCAGATGGTGCGTTGCTGGTGCAGACAATTTTCAGCGGTTTGACAAAGTGTGCATGATGAGAAGCACAGTGGGTGGCCATCCATCATTACAGATGACCTGGTGGAGCTTGTGCGGGAACGCATTATGGAGAACAGTCGCATGAAAATTGCAGTCATGTCCCGCAGATTTCCCGCACCTTGTTGCACGAAATTGTCACGGAGCACCTGTAGTTCAGGAAATTGTGCACCAGGTGGGTGCCGAAGCAACGGACACAAGAACACAAAGTCATGGAGTCAGCATTGACCTTTCTGCAGCGGTACCATGATGATGGTGACGAGTTTCTGGACTGGATCATCACAGGTGATGAAACATGGATTGCACACATTACCCCAGAAACCAAGCAGCAGTCAATGCATTGGCGTCACAGTGGATCTCCCTGTAAGACGAAATTCAAGCAGAACTTGTCGGTGCAGAAAGTGATGTACACGGTATTCTGGGACAGACGGGCGTTCTCCACGTTGACTTCCTGACCAGAGGTGAGACGGTGAATGTTGAGCATTACTGTGAAACACTGCAGAAATTGCGACAGGCCATTCAGAACAAGCGGCGCAGGATGCTTAGTGCTGGTATTGTCTTCCTGCACGATAACGCTAGGCCGCACATGGCTCGATGGACAGCAAGTCTCCTGCAGGAGTTCAGCTGGGGGGTGTTTAATCATCCACTCTACAGCCCAGACCTCACTCCCAGTGATATCCATCTTTTCCTACACCTCAAGAAATTCCTGTCTGGTGAGCGTCAGCGTTTTGAGAATGACAGAGAGGCGGAGATGGTTGTCATACAGTGGTTCCAATCCCAGGTATTCAAAAGTTGGTCCCACGGTATGACAGATGTCTCAATTCCGGTGGCGATTATGTTGAAAAATAGCAGAATATTTGCTGTATCTGTTGCAATAAATATTTCCATGAAACTGGACATTGCATTAGGTTGTCCTACAATATGTTCAATCTTTCAAACTGATAAATTTTTTTGCCTATGACATATAATGAATAAAACAGAAGCAACAATAATGACATACAACTGGAATATGTGTTATCATATTTCGCATGTGGGCCTACCTGTAACGTGGCAGATACTGAGGCAACAGACACATTCAAATACAGGGTGGAGTGCAGAAACTTCCTTAGTGTGAAGACACATTGTGAAGGGAGGGGAGTCGCAGAAAAGTGGGGATAGGCTCAGTGAACACAGCAGTCACGGAAATTTCTGTCTAATACCCCTCAGTAGAAAACATGAGGTGGACGAGTGAGCAACGTGTGTTTGCTGTCGAAGCCTATTATTTGAACAACCATTCCTACGTGGCGGTGCAGCATGCATTCTGTACTCACTTTGGAATTAAGCACAGAGGTCCAGTTCCTGAGCGGAAATCAATTGTTTTGTGGGTAGAAAACTTTAGGACAACTGGGAGTGTGGTGAAAAAACCATCAGGACGACAATGGACCGTTACAACGCCAGAAAATGTGGAGGCAGTTCGACAGTCAATTTTGAGATCTCCAAGATGCTCCGCTCGCAAACATGCAGTCGCCCTAGACATATCCATCGTTCAATGAGCCGAATTCTTCACGAACATCTTCATTTCCATCCCTATAAGATGGTTGTTGTGCAAGAATTGTCACCATGTGATTTCCAGAACGGAATAACGGTGTGCGAAACATTATTGGAAACTTTACCCCCTGACACACTTATATTCTTTAGTGATGAGGCATATTTTCACCTATCCGGATATGTCAACAAGCAGAATATGCACTACTGGAGTGGTAACAATCCCAGAGAGCTCCATGAGAGGCCACTTCACAGTGATAAGGTGACAGTATGGTGTGCATTGTCAAGAGTTGGAGTTATTGGCCCTCATTTTTTTGAAGAAAACAATCATGCAGTTACTGTCAATTCACAGCGGTATGTGGACATGATTAAAAACTATTTCAAACCAGCCCTTGAAGAAATGCATCTAGGAAATGTCTGGTTCCAACAGGATGGTGCCACAGCCCACACAGCCCGAGCTTTGATGACAGTTTTGAGGGCAAAGTTCCCTGGACGGCTCATCTTGCTTCGAGGTGACATCCCATGGGCAGCACACTCACCTGATCTAATGCCCTGTGATATTTTTTATGGGGATACCTCAAGGCAGAGGTTTTTAAACATTGCCCCACAAAACTGATTCAGCTGAAGAATGTTATTCGGCAGGAAGTAGCCCAAATTCCAGTGCACATGTTGCAAGGTGCAGAGGGGAACTTCAGAAAACGGTTGCATCAGTGCATAGAGAACAGTAGCCACCACCTTCAAGATATTTTGTTTCAAACTACATGATTTAAAACTTTAAAGTATGTTCTTTCATTAGCTAAACACAAATTTTGTCTATCAGCAATAATTTTTCTTTTATTCGCCTTAAAAAAAGGAAGTTTCTGTGCCCCACCCTGTAGTTCTGGTGTTACAGNGAATGTTATTCGGCAGGAAGTAGCCCAAATTCCAGTGCACATGTTGCAAGGTGCAGAGGGGAGCTTCAGAAAACGGTTGCATCAGTGCATAGAGAACAGTAGCCACCATCTTCAAGATATTTTGTTTCAAACTGCATGATTTAAAACTTTAAAGTATGTTCTTTCATTAGCTAAACACAAATTTTGTCTATCAGCAATAATTTTTCTTTTATTCGCCTTAAAAAAAGGAAGTTTCTGTGCCCCACCCTGTAGTTCTGGTGTTACAGTTTCTATGGCTACCAGAATCACGTGTTTTAATAGTCTGTCCAACAGATCCATGATTACAAGTATCATGTTTTTGGCCATTACCCATCATCTTGTTTATATTTAAAAACTCAACGTGTCGGAGACTGGATTCTGTCTCCGTCCTCAGGTAGAACCTACCCATTTGGGCTGAACAGATAGAGCTCATCCCTGTCTCCGGTCCATGGCATGCACACTATGGCCCATGAAGTTATCTAGACATTGTACTTCATAAATCCCTCCCATCCATAATACCAATACTACAGCCTCCCAAACTGTTCAAGTAATAACTTGAATACAGTGGAACCTCGCTTAAAGAGCACCTCTCATAATGAGTAATTCGCATAACGAGCTTAACGAGTGACAAGAGGGGAAGTCCCAGATTGTGTGACTGCTACATCAGTCTGTGTTTAGCACTCGTTCCGCTAGCATCTCAGTGTCACTTGTGATCACACATTTTTCCAAACTTGTGTTCAGACATATTATTTGTGATTTTTTTGTGCAAAGTTTAATAACCCTTGCAAAAATGTCCCCGAAGAAAAATCCGCAAAAAGACAGCCATAAGAGAATAAAAATAAACGTAGAAATGAAACGTAAAATCATTGAAAAGCGAGAACAAGGTGTGAGCATGGCTGATCTAGCAGGCACATACAATTGGTCTACATCAACGATTTGCACGATCTGCAGTTGCATTGTGTTTCACAGCAAGAAGTTATGGAGGAGAGTTTGTCAGGGGAGGAGGTAACAGCAAAGCAACAATCTTCTGGCACAATAAGAGAAATGCTGAAAGCATGGGAAACTGTTGCATCATACACTGAGAAGCATCACCCTAATAAGGCAGTGGCTATGCGCGCTACAAATTTATTTAATGATAATGCTGTGTCGCATTTTCACCAAATTTTGAAGCATCGGCAAAAACAAATGTCTCTAGACAGCTTTCTAGTAAAAAAAAGAATTAGATATGTATCATAATTAATAAACTAATTATTTCGATTTTTTTTTCTGCAAATCAAATTCGCATTCCAGGTTGGTTCATTCCGCATAGAAGAAAAGATGAAAGATGATGCATGCTCCTTAACAATGTATATATAATTCTCTTTGAATAAAAGTTATACATAAAATTCTTTGAGTATTTTTTCTGGCATGGAACGCATTATCGTATTTTACATTAATTTATATGGGAAAAATTGTTTCGCTTAATGAGTGTTTCGCATTATGAGTAAGATTCTGGAATGAATTATGCTCATTAAGCAAGGTTCCACTGTATTACTTTAATGCCTGAACTGATAATCATGAAACTTGGTATGAAAACCATGACTTATTAGGCACTCTTTAACAGCATATCTCACAAATACTTCCCTTCAGTAATACTAACATAAGAGCTGCCCATATTATTAATGTGGATGTCATAAGCTTCATCCTATCCAAACATTCACTTGATGAATATGCATTACAATGCTTCAAGTCGACCTCCTAATATGAAAAATTAAGCTATCAAACCAATAAAAGACATGAAGAAAGCAGTCTTGTGGGATGTGGTGCCGTGTAGATATTGTGTTAACCGACATTTTGGAGGAAAGTATCGCCTTGATCTTCAGGACAAGAAAAAAGAAGAAAATCTGCGAGCGAGGAACCAGCATGAGCAGGTTGGTTAACAAAATATCTACATGGCGCCACATCCCAGAAGACTGCTTTCTTCAGAGTCACCACTGTGAAAACCTCAAATCTTACACAATAAAAGGCATGTTTTTACAACAGCAAATCATTTAATTAAACATATATGAAACTGTGTAATTGTTACCATGGAATGCCACATGGCCATACAGAAGGCAGTGAAATTTTTGCAGATAAGAAAGAGCGCAAGACAATTTCTTCAGAGTTTTGTGGTTTAATATTGAAATATTAGCTCTGGCATCAACTTTATCTCTTCTAACTGTACTATTACATGCATAATTCACATTCTACAAAAATCCAGCATACAGTACTGTTTTATTGACTTCATTACACATACATACTAAAGTATTTTTTGACTTGTATCAAATTCAAACTGCTGTGAAGGAAAGTATGCAGTTCTTCCAAGAACTTCTTGTCAATTTCATTCAATTATGCATCATAATTACAAAGTATAACACTCTGAAGCCCTAAATGTATTCTGCAGACACTGTGCATATGATGTATTATCACATCAAGTGCTGAGAACATTTATCCTTTAATACTGCCAAGACAATACACTTCATTCTCTATGAGTGCAGATATACATCAAATTGACTTTGAATATAATGTCACGTGTTGGGTGTACGTTACGTGACAAATAACTTCACGTCGTTCTGGATCTAGTGAATTTATTGCACTCTGCAGTCACAATAATATGACAAAGACATTTCTGTGCCTAATTCTTACCTGTGTATTGAGTTCCTCCACTTTGCCAGCATCTCCTCTCTGATTGGAAATCCCTTGATTTCTGTTTGGGACTGGGCGAGAAGTCTGACTCATTTTTGGTACTGTGGTACAAAAAGAGAAAATCTTAAACCTCGTTTTATATTATGATCAAGACAGAAAGAGTAGAGTTCTGGAATTCCACTGTAAATTCTTGTGTATGTCAATACATTTCATTCAAATTTGTCTCAGAAATGCTGGTCAACCTAGGCTTACAGAACTGATCTATTCACCATATAAAGCAATCCTGACTCATAACTGAAACCCAGCACTGATAAACAAATCCTAATGCACTGTTTGATGACTTGTTTGTATAAAACACAATTAGGAAAATAATTAGATAAAAACATCTATCAGCAGTTCCATATTTTCCATGTCCTTTTTATTAATTCCATCTTTAAAGTATTGAAACTTTCATATTCTAAATTGAATTCCTTGTCCCTTTTTTGTGGGGGATGAATGGAAATCTATAACCTCCTCAGTTCTCACCTTTGGCATCTACTGTATCTAATTCTACAGTTGTTTTCCATTTATTAATTTTTAAATGATGATGTAACAGAAAACTAAATATACCAGAGTGAGTAATACCATCATTTTGCTCTACAAAAAATGCACTTTAACCTTTATTGGTTGTGTGTGAAGGGTATGCTTCAGTTCATTGTGTGGTCCGGATGGTTCACTGTTGCATTTCTTCAATGCTAATATTGTTATTCTGCACTTAAAATATGGTCATCAAACCTGTACACGTAGGAAATTTAAAATCCTCTATTCCCCAACAAAGTGTTACCCCCAAATTAATGTATGCCACCAATCCTCTACTGGGGGGCACGCGGTAGCGTAGTTGGTTGGCACTATGCTACACACCAGAAGGTCACGGGTTCAAGTCCTGATGAGGTCACTGGATTTTTTTTCAATTGACCTAATCCTTCCTGGGGGTCAACTCAGAAATGAGTACCAGGAATTAATTAAATAATTTTTCTGGGGAGTAAACCTCAGCTGGCACATAAGGCTGACAAACTTGCTGCCATTTTTGAGCCGACTGTCTAGATAATGCGGGACCCTCAACGTCTCACAACCCTATGGGCCTTCACGGCCTGGTACAGGGATAGCTTTACTTTTACCAACCCTTACTACCAGATTTGAAACCCCCAGCCCCAGATGATGTTAAATATTGTAAAACATAATCACCAGTATTTTTTTTTATTGCTAGTGGGGTGGGACTAAATCCCTTGTACTGTGGCCACTTCTGGCCTATTGTACCAGCCCCAGATGATAGGTGAGGGTGATTGTGGAGCAATTGGTGGAATGAAGATTGGCAGGGGAAACCGAAGTACTCAGAGAAAACCTGCCCCAGCGCCACTTTGTCCACCACAAATCCCACTTGACCAGAGTCAGGATCGAACCTGGACCACCACGGTGGGAAGCCAGCGACTAACCGCTTGAGCTATGGCGCGGCCTTAATCACCAGTATAATAACAGCACTTATCTATACATAAAAAATGCATGCACAGATCATTTTACTTAATACTAAATTTTGGCAGGCAACAAGGAAACAAGAAATCCACACATAAAGAAGATACATGTACAAAATAAAGAAAACAAAGCAGTACAGAATGGAGAAAGCTGGAACCACAATTTTCCAATCCAGTTACCCTATTCAACAAATGCAGGGCAAAAGGATTTCCACCCAGGTCTACATAAATGGACCCCATAGCTAGTCTGGATGCGGTGGCACAGAGAAAAATTCCACTCTTGCACATCCACTGTCAATGAGCTATTCTGACCTGTGACTACAGACAGACAGACAGAAGTTATAAACAAACTTCACAAATTATTTTAAATATCGAAGTTGTCTATAAATAAAAAAGAATGATATTCAAGGTTCAAAATTACAAGGCACTACTACAGCTGAGACAGACTGTAATTTACTTCACCCATAAAAACTACAATGGAATGAATTCCTGGGAGTTAGCTCTTTGAAGTCCATCTCTGACAATCCATTTCTCATTTAAAGTCTGAAACACTGGGCTCTTCACTTATACGTGGGGCAATCCAAAAGTTTCCGAAATTTGAATTTTGCGCGCGAATGGTTATGAGTACATTGAAATACTGCTAGGTGTCTCCTCACACATCCTTCTTGAATCAATGTGGCAAGCAGCATCGAGTTGAGTGGTTGGGTTTATTGTTGGTGAATGTATTTCCATCGTTGTGTTTCCGTGAGTCTGCGGTTTTGCGATGGCTGACCTGAGAGAGCAGTGTGTCTGTATAAAGTTTTGTTTCAAACTTGGGAAAACCGCTG